TCAGCGTGGCCTGGAGGCTGGTAGTCTGTCCCATTGTGTGACATGAAATAGACTTAAGTTTCATGTGGTATCACTGTGCAGTTTGAAATACTAGAATATTACAAGTACAAAAAGCTATTTGAGTGTTCAAAACAAATTTCTCTGCAGTCAATAAAGTAGCAGACTTGTGACAAACATTCGAGCCTGCATTGCTCAAAAACAAGTCCAACTGCAGAGAGAAGAGGAAGAGAAGTTTCAGGCTTAAAAAGAGACACTGTAATTGTGAGACCCATGGCGAGCAATTACAGTGACAAGCGAAGAGCAAGAGCATGAAGATAGAAGGGAGTGGGTGAGATGAATAGATAAATGTCCAAAGAAAGGGCTAATTTTGGTTTCGTTGGGGCTCAGTTCCACCTCCTGCGCTGACAGATACACAGAGACAGACACACTAACAGCCTCTCCTGCTGCGACCAGTCAGACCAACAGGACTTCTTTTTTTCCCCTCCTCAGTCACGGCTGTTGTGGAAGTTTCCAAGGTGCTCTGTGTGAGTCCTTCTGGTTCAAGCAAGAAGCCCTGAGGTGTTCATTAGCCGAGGCCCCCGGGGCCCTGGACGCAGCCTGCCGAGACTCTAACTGCTGACGGTGGTGAGGGTTTAAACACCCACAGTCCCACAGCGATCACACGCGTTTATGAAGAAGGAAGGGAGCACTCGTAAACAAACATTTGACACAGAACCACAGAGTCTCTACGAGAGGCGGTTTGTTTTTTGACATTTTTAAGGTACAAGACAGAAGATCTGAAAATACAGAATCAACATGTAACACTGTCGTCCAGAGAATTTACAGAAGAACTTTATTACAGGGAAAAACTTACCATTATGCTGATTGCACAATGTACTGGCTGTACGTCACCATCTGTGCTTTGACGGGTTTCCTGTTAGCCTCACCTTCACCATGTAATTCTCTTTGCCACTGGGTACGATCTCCCAGGAAAATGTTGGCTCCATTTACGGCACAAAGGAAGTGCGTCCACCATTGTGCATCCAAAACAGTGGCCATCAAGCCCCTGGGAAAAATGCTAGGCTTTGGAGCCAATGTCACATAGCGGCAAAACTGTAGAATTACAACTTCCGGGTCTGTGACATGACGCCATTGAGCCCCAAAATGACTTTTTTCCATTGACTTACATTGTGAAAGAGAAGTCTGTATACAACCGGGGATTTGATCTACTTGGTTGGGTATCTTTTTAATCCCATTCCAACCCAGTCTCACTCCTAAGCTGTCAAAATTCGATGCTTGGTCAGTGACTTCCGGCTTCAGACACCAATGAAAAAAGCCATCCTTTCACATCAGCATGATACAGGACTGGTCTACGTTATTGTTTAATGGCGTCCGTCGGCATCTGGAGGAAACACGGTAGGACAACAATGAAGGTTAAAGTGGTGTGAGTGGTGGTGGATGGGTCCAACAACCACCAACTTTCACCCAGGAGGCCGGTGTTTGCTTCCCGTAAGATTGTCAAGCCAAACCCTTGTACCTACGTAGTGTTTAGAGACTGTACGTAAACATTAAATTTCCTGTAAAAAGACAATTCATGTGACAGGCATCCAAGAATGTGAACCAACACACCCAGGGTACCTTGCATGTCTTATCTGGACGTGGGACCAAACGTCGTTATGTGACGAGGTCGGAGTGAAGGTCTGCTGCGATCGAAGTATGTAGAAGGCTAAATCGGAAATTAGTCTCTTTTTTCTGTACACCCATAAAATCTAATCTGAATAAATAATTACACAAAGTAAGTAAGTCATTTAACACATTAAAAATAGCATGTTCTCCTCCAGGGCACTAGCCAACGTTAACATTAGTTATGTTAGCTAACTAGCTAATAGCAATCTCTATTTTTTTCTGTACACCCATAAAATCTAATCTGAATAAATAATTACACAAAGTAAGTAAGTCATTTAACACATTAAAAATAGCATGTCCTCCTCCAGGGAACTAGCTAACGTTAATGTTAGTAATGTTTGCTAACTAGCTAATAGCAATCTCTATTTTTTTTTTTTCTTTCTGTACACCCATAAAATCTTTTCTGAATAAATAATTACACAAAATAAAGTCTTTTAACACGTTTAAAAATAGCCCGTCCTCCTACAGGGCACTAGCTAATGTTGCTAACGTTAGTAATGTTAGCTAACTAGCTAATAGCAATCTCTATTTTTTTTCTGTACACCCATAAAATATTTTCTGAATAAATCATTACACAAAGTAAGTCATTTAACACATTAAAAATAGCATGTCCTCCTCCAGGGAACTAGCTAACGTTAATGTTAGTAATGTTAGCTAACTAGCTAATAGCAATCTCTATTTTTTTTTTTTCTTTCTGTACACCCATAAAATCTTTTCTGAATAAATAATTACACAAAATAAAGTCTTTTAACACGTTTAAAAATAGCCCGTCCTCCTACAGGGCACTAGCTAATGTTGCTAACGTTAGTAATGTTAGCTAACTAGCTAATAGCAATCTCTGTTCTTTTTCAGTATGTCCATAAAAACTATTGAGTAAATAAACAAAAGTAAAAAAGTATTTGTTTAACACATTAAAAACAGTGTGTCCTCCTCCAGGGCGTTAGCTAACTAGCTAATAGCAATCGCTATTTTTGTCTGTACACCCATTCAGTTTATTCTGAATGAATAATTACATAAAGTACGTAAGTCTTTCAACACATTATCAAAAATAGCCTGTCCTCCAGGGCGTTAGCTAATGGGAGTCGCGTTAGCTAACTAGCTAATAGCAATCTCAATTTTTTTCCTGTACACCTCTTAAGGGGCATTCTTTTATATTGTGTACTCAATTTGCTATGTGACTGTTATGTGACTGCTGCGTCATCACGTTTTGTTTAGGCCATGCCCAGTCATGTTCTGTCAGAGGTCGGAGTTCATTTCCTCCGTGACTGAGTAAATGTGAGGTCTTCAATAAATATGCCGTACAGGCTAAAGATTATTATTGCCTCCGTCAGATTATTCCCCGAGTTCAGCGCTGGTGAGGCTGCGGATCTCAACAACACCCATGAAAATATATTCTGAATAAATAATTACAAAAAGTAAGTAAATAAAAATGGCGTGTCCTCCTCCAGGGCGCTAGCTAAGGGTTAGCTAACTAATAGCAATCCCTATTCTGTATACACACAAAATCTAAATAAAAAAATTACACAAGTAAAAAAAGTAGCTCACAGCTCACTTTTTTAAGTACATTCCTTTATTTTACAATACAAATATAATAGTAGAAATGATTTGGCAGGCAAACAGTGAGTGAAACGGGGAAACACATTCAGATCTTCATTGAGCAAAACAGCTTATTTAGCATTAACACACTCATCACACTCGCTTTCCTCAGCGCTGTCCAGCCTCAATTAGTTCGTTATTAGGCACATTTATAAGCGAGCTGTGGATTGAACTAATGTCACGGGCCAGAGCAGGAACACAAAGCCTGACCTATAAAACAGAGCAAACAGACATATTGGGGTAAAGTGATGGCCCCTGTGTGGTTTATTCACCAGTGATCCGACCTTAGCTGCTCTTTGTTAAGATCAAAGTTCAGCTGAAGTTGAAAACCTGCAGAAAATGAGATATCAGTGAAATGTACAAGTGGATATTTTCTGTTTAATCCTTTGGTAACCTGCTGAAGAGTTGTGCATAGATACGCCACCACATATACATGGCCTCACACTGTCATTATGTGCATTAAGTTATATTATGAAATCAACAAAGAAAGAGAGATGTCAGTGTGTAAACTAATTTTTCTAAATTTCCACAGATACATCATTCATTCTGTTTTATTCTGATGAAATCAACAATGACACAATAAGTTATAAATAAGAAACGCTCCTCGTCTGCCCTCCTGCTCTTCCTCTGCTCCAAACAGCGCCCAGTTATTTCTCTCAATAAATCAAAAAACAATGCCAGTGAAGATATAAATAACAACAGAAGAGACAAAAACACAGATATAAAAACAAAATATGGGATGACCTTTCCTCTGTCGCCGGCTCGCTGGAACGAGGGCGAGATTCCTGAAGAGACAGCAAGCTATGGCAAGGACTGTTCACAAATGTTAGGCTTGTTCAAGATTGAACACCGGCGATCACATGCAAATGTGGACAAGGATATTGTCGTGAGAGGCGGCATGATGGGAAACGTCTGGTTCTCACCTGATCTAACAGCTGATTGGTTTAAATATTGACTCAGCAACATGGTGTTATATATAAACTTTTTATTGTTGTTGAATTGGGGAGATTTTGGTTTGATTTGTCTGATTTAAAGGTCATGTTGTGTGACTGATGGTGACGTTTAGTAGTCACTAAATACATTCATCTAAACTGATATATGGGTCTGATAACATGTTTAATTAACTGGACTCAGATCTAACAGGATGTGAGTGTTTCTGTGACGGCAAATGTCAGCCGCTGCCTGATCTCATCCAATTTTCAGTTCATCTCGAACGAGCCTATTAACTCTATGCTAGCAGTTAAGAGGGATTTATACTTATGCGTTATTGTGAAGACAATAAAGCCTCCACAAAAATAGCATTTTAAGTCTTGTGTGTGATTTATCCTGGCTTCATATGAGCAGAGGAAATCTCTGCTAGTCGCTGGGCTAATTTATACAATGTAAAATGCCATAGGCTTGTGCTAATAACGTTAGCATGTTATATTTGTTTGGAAAACATGTTTCGCGCGTAAGGCAGTTGTTTTGTCAGTGAACCTTGTGAGTTGTAATGGAGCCAAATTTTGTAACGTTACCTTTGTTAAATGTTGCTGTTGTCCCTGGCTTCATATGAGTAAAGGAAAAGTCTGCTAGCTGCTAGGCTAATTTATACAATGTAAAATGTCATAGGCTTGTGCTAATAACGTTAGCATGTTGTATTTGTGGGGAAAATGTGTCCACATAAAGACAAGTGTTTGTCTATGAATGCTGCGAGTTATAGTGAAGCTGATTTGTGTACTTGTGTTTGAAATTGTCTCTATTAAGCCATGTTTAATGTGTGTTTAATGTGTGTTTTGGATCAACTAAACTTTACAGCTCTTCACAGAAACCTCCACTGCCAACTAGCGTTGTGAAGGTATAACTGCAGAGTGACACAGACACCACCACTGCACAAGTATAAATGCTCACAACAGTGTAGGCCACTTGCGTAGGCTGCCGCACAAGTATAAATCCCGCTTTAGCATAGCTATGCTCCAAAATGAGGCTAATATGATAAAAGCAACCTGCAAGCAATGACTGTACATGGGCAGTATGGACATGGCAGAGCAGTGAGTGAGCACATACAGGCTTATGAGGACTGTGGAGTGTTAAATACGCTGGATTCATAACAGGCTGATATGGCTGCAGGCGATACTCACACATCTTTTCAATTTGTGGCATTGGAAAAGTTGCCTCCTTCACACGTTATCTTCTGTCAGTGTGAACAGAATAAAAAAATATCCAAGATTTTGAGTTCAAAAATAAATCTTTTTGTAAACAGTTTTCCTTCATTCGCTTCATGTTCTTTGATGAAAACACAACAAAGTTTCATGAACGCTCTATCAAGAGTTTTTTTGGTGATAACTGAGAGGCACCGCAGAGGTCCGTTATTCAAATTCCTCGCCAGCGGTGGCGGCCTCCAAAGCAGCGAGAGCCTCCGCCACCATCGAGTCTGTAACGCTCTGCACCTCCTCCTCCTGGTTCCTTGCCTCCACCTTGTCGTCGTCGTCACTCTTTGTCACAGAGATCCCACTCTCTACGGTGGAAACGTCCGGAGTCTTTGGCCGTCTGAGCTCCTCCCTGGTGTCGACTGACGACAGGCTGGTGGTGCTGGTGTGGATGTCCACTGACAGGATGCTACCCTCGTCCCCCGTATCACACGGGTACTCCGGCGTCCCTCCCACACCCTCGTCCACCTCGTCTGCTGACAGGCTTTCACTGCCGATCGCACACTCTGTGATGGAGCTGTCCCACTCGTTCCTCGTCACACCACGTACCCGCTCGCCGTAGCTCCTCTGGTTCTCATAGTCCTGTATGTCTGGGTAAACGGGAACCTGACTCACCCATCTCGGCCCCAGAGCTTGCGGCTGGATGATGTACAGACCTCCATCTCCAGGTGGCGCGCTCGCCTGCCTGTGCAGCTCCGTCGCAGGTGAAGGTGCAGCGTGCAGCCTGTGGTTGACGTGGTTGTTGTCCACCTCTAGCTTGAGCGTGCTGTCGTTGGACTTGCTGTAGCCCAGATTGTTGAAGCCCTGTTTCTGCTTGCTGGGGCTGCCGAGCGGGTCACCGCTGAGGGCCCCGCCTGAGAGGTGGTGGGGATGGTAGAGTGAGCTGCCCGCAGAGTCAGACTTCCTCACATCTCCCGCCACAGAGGGGTCGTAGATGTAGCTGTGAGAGAGACAGACAGACAGAGTGTGTTACAGACACAGAATAAGAGGTGAATTTCCAGACGGTTCAGAGTTACACTTGACTTCACTCTTTGATTTCCTGGATCGGTGTCTGTCCGTCTGACTGGGCTCCAGGAGTCAGATGTTCCCGTGGCGATCAATGAAACACCCTCACATACTGTACACTGACAGCAACAAGGAAACCTCATCGTGCAGTCGATGCACCTTTCTAAATGCCACTGTTTTGTTCGAGGCATACATGCACCTGATGTTTACACAGACTGCATGTAGCCGTGGTGTGCTGATGTTTGCACCGCTCATGTGAATGTCAGAAATATTATGCAGATGGTTGTAGGAAGAAGAGAACAGGAGAGGAAAATGAACTCAGGTTCTGACTACACTCTGCTCTCTAACTCTGGTCTAAAATGTAGAATACTGACATCTACTCTCACATGTTGGGTTTGTGTCAGTGTCTCCTGTGGAGGGTGAAAAATTACGTATGGCTTATCAATAAATAAATAAATAAATACAAGAATAAATACATTAATTAATTAATTGTTTATATAAATAAAGGGATTAATAAATAAATAAATAAATATGTGAATAAGTAAGTAAATAAATAAATGCAGAAAAAAATATGTGCATGCATAAATAAACAAAAATTAAATGCTGAAATAAATACGTAAATAAATAAATAAACAAATACATAAATAAAAGAATAAGTAAATTTATAAATAAATACAGGAATAAATAAATACAGGAATAAATAAAAAAATAAATACAGAAAAAAATGCATACATGAATAAATAAATAAAATAATTAAATGCTAAAATAAATAAATTCCTTACATAAATAAAAGAATAAATACATTTATAAACAAATCCAGGAAAAATATACACATCCATAAAAAAATTACTAAATGCTAAAATAAATAAATAATTAAATAAATTCCTTACATAAATAAAAGGATAAATAACTACAGAAATAAATAAACACGTGTAAATAAATAAATGCAGAAAAAAAGACATACATGCATAAACAAATAAAATAATAAAATAAATATGGACATAAATAAATAAATGCACAAAAAAGAAATACAAAGGCTAGGACCTTATACTTCATTAACATAGAGACGCAAAAACCCAGTAATAAATATGGTTGAGCAAAAATGAAAAAATACACTTTGGTTTAATTATTTATCAACTTTTAAAAAATAAAAAAATTTAAAAAAAAGTATGCTTTTATCTATTTATTTCCATATTTATTTCGAAATGTATTGTCATTTTTTTAAATTTTTTTAAAAATTATTTTCATGTTTATTTATTCCTTTATTTATTTTTGTATTTATTTATTTATTTATTCCTGTATTTATTTATCTATTTATTTATTGGCACTTGAGTCATCCTCCATAGTCTCCTGGCTGGCTCCGTACCTATCGTACACACACAAGAATGGTATCAACCTTCTGATCTCGCCATATCTCACACAGTATATCACTCAAAGATGTTCACCAGGATTTTCTGTCCCTGCAAAATGAGCTGTCTCCTGCTGTGAGAAAACTTTGATTACCATAAATTACAGTAAAAGGTCTTCCTGTGATCAGAGTTCAGGAAACACTTTTGAGAAAAGCGACTGAAGGGAGAAATGGTGAAAGAAAACAGACAGGCAGTTCATTATGTGCCGAGTGTGTCCAAGGAAAAAGAAACGATAAGTGATAATACACACAAAGAAATTCACATTTTTGTTTTTTGTGAAATAATGAGCCACAGAGTTCAGCTCATTAAGATGAGCGACGAATGTTGAAAGCCAAGGGAGCATCTTCACCTGCAGTTTCCTCTCTGGATCAGGTAAATGAAAAGCAGCACTGATACATTATTTAGCATTGATGTGAAGTTTGTGTTGACCTCCTGCTCTTGTCTGCTCGTGCCTACGCTCAGTCTTCTACTGTGTAAATTACAGAACATCATAAGCTCTGGCAGAGATCTGTCGATGTTGTCCCAACTGCTCGTAGGATGGTCGAGGTCGATAAAGGTGTGGGACTAATTAATGCTCTGAGACAGCCTCTTGTAGGCTGTAAGGTACGGAGCCATGTTTCCTCCAATGTGATGAGAACAAAAGATCCTCTAAGTCATTAAAATGACAACTTTTCCCTAAATAATGACTCAGTATGTCTCTAAATAATGCATGCCCCGTGTCAGCGTGGGTTTTCTCCAGGTGCTCCAGCTTCCTCCCACAGTCCAAAGACATGCAGGTTAATTGGTGACTCTAAATTGTGCGTAGATGTGAATGTGAGTGTGAATGGTTGTCTGTCTCTATGTGTCAGCCCTGTGATAGTCTGGTGACCTGTCCAGGATGTACCCCGCCTCTCGCCCAATGTCAGCTGGGATAGGCTCCAGCCCCCCCAAGACCATTAACAGGATAAGTGGTTATGGAAAAATGAATGAATGAATCGCTAAATAATGACTTAGTGTCTGAAAATAATTCCTGAAAAGAAAAAGACTTAGTATTGCAAATTAATGGCTTTGTTTTTAAGAATTACGACTTAGTATCTCGAAGTAACGACTTCTGTCAAAATAATGATGAATTTTCTTAAAATAATGACTTAGTATCTGTCATCTGTAATCAAACTTTTTTCAAACTAATGACCTGGTATCTCAAAATAACTATGACATAGTATCTGGAAATATTGACTACTTATGTCAAAATAATAAACTTTCTTAAAATGACTTCTCTCTCGAAAATGACAGTATCGCAAAACATGGTCTCAAAATAAATAATTTTTCTTAAAATAATGACTTATCTAAAAAAATCACTCAAATGACTCAATCTCAAAATGAGATTTTTTTTAATTTTTCCTTTTTTTTTAAATAATGAGAGACATTCCTAGCAATGTTTCATTATCTTAAAATAATGACTTGACCTCAAATTATGACGTAGTACCCAAAAATGACTAGATTTCTCTTTGGTCGAAACAAAAAAACTCTTTTAAAAGACTCCTCGAAATAATGACTTAATAATGAGAAGCTTTCTTAAAATAATCAAACTTTTTTTTAAATAAATGTAGTATTTAAAAATTATGATCGAGTATCTTGAAATAATGAGTTCTTATGTCAAAAAAAGACATTTTGTTAAAATGACTTATCTCTAAATTATAACAAACTTTTTGCAAAATATTAACTTAGTATTTAAAAAATATGACTTAATACCTTATAATATTTTTTCCTCTCAAACTAATGAGAGGCTTGTCTTAAAATAATAAGAACCTTTCTTAAAATAATGAGTTATATAAAAAATTACTAGATTTCTAAAATTATGACACAGTATCACAAAATATGGACTTAGTATTTAAAAATGACGACATAGTACCTTAGAGTAATGGATTTTTCTTTCAAAATAATGAGAAGCTTCTTTAAAAATTACAAGAAACTTTCTCAAAATAATGACTTAGTATCTCAAGATAATACAGTTTCTTCAAATAAAAGTTTTCAAAATATTGACACTGTATTGCAAAACAACCTGGTATTTAAAAAATTTGACTTGGTATCTGTAAATGATGACTCATGTCAGAATAAGAAACTTTCTTAAAATGACTTATCTCTAAATAATGACATAGCATCACAAAATATTGACCATTGAACTTTCTTAAAATACTGACTTATCTCAAATTATGATGTAGTATCTGAAAATGATGATTAAAAAAAAAAAAAATCAAAACAATAAACTCTTCTAAAACACTTCTCTAAATAATGACTAAATAATGAGAAACTTTCTTAAATTATTAAACTTTCTCAAAATAAATGTTGTATTTAAAAATTATGACCAAGTGTGTTGAAATAATGAGTTCCTTTGTGGAAAAAAAAATAAATTCTTAAAATGACTTAACTCTAAATTATTACAAAATTTTGCAAAATATGGACTTAGTATTTAAAAATTATGACATAATACCTTCTAATATTTTTTTCTCTCAAACTAATGAAGCTGTTTTCAAAATAATAAGAACCTTTCTTAAAATAATATATTATTTTATAATAATTATAAAATAATTATTTAAAAAAAAATGACTCAGTGTATAAAAATTATGACTTAGCATCTCAAAATAAGACACTTTCTCAAAATTACTTATGTCTAAGTAATGACATAGTATCACAAAATATGGACTTAGTATTTAAAAGTTATAACTTAGTACCTTTAAAGTAAAGTACTTCAAAATAATGAGTAGCTTGTTTAAAAATTACAAGAAACTTTCTCAAAATAATGACTTAGTATCTCAAAACAACTTGGTATTTAAAAATTTTGACTTAGTTATCGAAATAATGACTCATGTCAGAATAAGAAACTTTCTCAAAATGACTTGTCCCTAAATAATGACATAGTATCAAAAAATATTGACCATTGAACTTTATTAAAATAATGACTTATCTCAAATTATGACGTACTATCTGAAAATTATGAGATTTTTTTTTTTTTTTTTTTAAAAATCAAAACAAAAAACTCTTAAAACTTCCCGAAATAATGACAAAATAATGAGAAACTTTCTTAAAATAATTAAACTTTTTCAAAATAAATGTAGTATCTTGAAATAATGAGCTTAACGTCAAAAAATAAATTCTTAAAAAGACTTATCTCTAAATTATTACAAAATTTTGCAAAACATGGACTTAGTGTTTAAAAATTATAATTTAGTACCTGGAAAAAAAAAATGAATTTTTCTGTTAAAATAACAAGGCTTTTTTCCCCAAAATAATAACCTTTCTTAAAATGACTTATTTTAAAAAAATGACTTAGTGTATGAAAATTATGGCTTACTGTAGCATCTCAAAATAATGACTTTTTTTCCCCAAAGTAATGAGACATTTCTAAAATAAAAACTTATCTCAAAGTCATTATTTTGAGATTTCAATACTCATCACATTGGCGTCAATGGGCTTCCATAGTAACGACTGTCTGATGCGTCATTTTGGAGGATTTTGTCAGAAGGCTATTTGAGCACAGGATGACACA